CATCCCGGGAAAAATAGCAGGAAAACCCCAGCGGGAAAATAGGAGATGAGTGAAGCTTTTTAAGGTGAAAGTGCTCCCCCTTATCAGAGGAATTGGCCCGCTTTTACCTTTATTAGACTCCTGAGAGGCCCTTGATAATTCTGGCTCCAACAAGCTGAGTGTCTGGACCAAAAATGTTTCTGTCAAGAAGAAACCTGAAGGAGAGCTGTGACCTTTCTAAATACTTTCATTAGATTTCAGCCATGCACAGAAGCCTGGTCCAAATGACATAGACGTGCTCATGTTCTTGCCTCTCCGAAACTCGCTTTCATATTAAGGTGGACTGAAGATAGCCAAATCAAACTGCAGTTGGCCGTTATTACACTCTTATCAGTAACTCTACAGCTCATTAAGCACAGGTTTTTAACGGAATGGCAGGAAGCACTGCTCCTGGACAACAGATGGTCTACAAAGTGTAGAAAAATGAGTCATTTAATTGTTTTTTTCCCTCATAGATGCATCATGTCTTTATTCATGAGTGCTCTAGAAAGTAAGCTTAATGTTACAAAGAATATTTGAAACCAGAGAAAAGCAGTTTTTTTCCCTAATGGATTTTATATTTAAACACTTTGCTTGACTCATCTTTGAAAATTATTATATATTTATGTCGGAACCAAGAATATATTGAACGAACCTTGAATAATAAACGAACTGTGTGTGTGTGTGTGTGTGTGTGTGTGTGTGTGTGTGTGTGTGTGTGTGTGTGTGTGTGTGTGCGTGCGTGTGTGTGTGTGTGTGTGTGTGTGTGTGTGTGTGTGTGTGTGTGTGTGTGTGTGTGTGTGTGTGTGTGTGTGTGTGTGTGTGTGTGTTACAGCTGAGCAATGAATTGAAAATGTATCATTATTGAAATTTCTGTCTCTTATCGAGAAAATTTTTTTCCATGACAATAATTTTAATAATGAAAAAATTAAAAGATTTGTGTAGGTTGGCAACATTCATGTTCCTTTAACCCTCCCACTGTCCTAATGGGCGTGACCCTGCAAGGAAAGTTGACCATTGAGCAGGGCTGATGGTTTATCCCTTTGGTCCATGTGGCAGGGTTGAGGAGTGAGCACCACCTCACCCCTGCCACGTGGACCTCGAGGGATAAACCATCAATCCTGCTCAATGGTCAACCTTCCTCGGGGTCACCCATAAAGACACCAGAGCTGAGGAAAATGATCAAATAATCGATGCATCGGGATGCGGACATAAACGATTCCGCATCGTAGAAGAGTACGCCATAATCGATTATAGTGGAATGTAGTTTTGTTTTTTTAACGGTGGCACCAGCGCAGCATCCAAATCTGTCAGAGTGAGTGTCCTCCACATTTACCAAGTGGTTCCACCTTAATGTGGTGCTGCAGGGTTGAGCGCTGGAGTTGTAACCTGAGACCGAACCGGAACCAAATCAGCCCGACTTGTTCTGTTGGATTTGGGCCGTGAATTATGTTAATTGAGTTGGTTGTCACGCGGCCCGCTCCGCTCGCTCGCACAGCATCTGAGAAAGAGAGAGAGAGAGAGAGAGAGACATTGTCTGCTCACACAAGAGAGAGGATCGGAGGATGCTCCTCCAAACCGATGCTCCAAACATGCATTATTTTCATAATTTAATGGAAGCGCTCAGTCAGACAGAGTGTTGTGATGCCGGGAGATCTGGTCTTGGGGAGGGGGCGGGGTCAATGATGGCAGCTGCAGCGTGATCGTCTGTCTCTTTTATTTAGGGACACGGAGAAGTTAAAAGGAGAGAGAAATAGAATGTGGCAAGGTGGACAAATGAGGGCCCGGGCGGGACTCTACATTTGATAGAAGTTCTTGTTCCACTTTATTCTTTTGTTTCATGAAGATAAACTGATGTTAAATTCAGCTTAAAGAGAAGCTGGGAGGAAGCTTTGGTCCATTTTAAGTTACAGGAAATCTTGTTTCCTATCTGCTCCTCCAGAGACAGCATGGACATGAGGGTCACATGGTGAGGGTCACACAGGACAGGTTAGTGGAAAGGTTTATAGTTAGCTGGTTAGTGAAGGAGATCCATCAGCTGGGTAATTTAATCCTAATCCAGCCCACAGCCTTCTGCTGTTGTTATTATCAGAAAGAATAAAACACACATCTTAAATATTATTGGAAGTGTAGAATTTGTTTTATGTTTTATTATTTTCTGCATCAAACATAACTTGATTCATTCTCCAACATTTCAGAAATTAACCACTGGCTTCAAATAAAATAACTAAGTCAAACATTTCATTTGGTGTTATTTCTGACAGACTTGAACTGTGGCATAAATATTTGACTCTAGAGCTGCTCAGAGACATCAAACACTCATATATGAACCCATTACGGATTTTATTATTACATTATGTGTCCTGTAGGTTCTCAGTATTTTTTCAGATTTTGTTGAGCTTTTGCAAAGCGTGTTTTTCTCAGCCTGAGGTGTGGTGTTGAACGGGGAAACAGATTGTTTTACTTTGTTAAATCTTCTTAAATGTTTAAAATGTTTTGTCCTAATCTGTTGTGAATGGAGAGCTTTTGAGGGATGGCAGGTTGTGTCAATTAAATTTTTGATTAAAAAAAAGTAAATAAAAGGCAATTATCTGACATCTTCTATTTATCGATGAAAACAAATCAATATGAAATAATCGTGATGCATCGGGATATCGAATCGAATTGAATCGTTGACCCAATAATCGTAATCGAATTGGGAGACAAGTGAAGATTCACACCTCTAAAAGACGGTGGGAGGGTTAAGAAGCTGTAACACCTTGAATCACCTTAATACATGGGACAGCCCCATCTAGTGGACAACTTTGGTTTCTGGACATACCTGCAGTTGTCGTCCATTTATCGTTTTCGTGGTGAAATCTTCAACATATCGTGACATTGATTTTAGGCCGTATTGCCCAGCCCTAGTGTGTATGTGTATATGTACGTATGTGTGTATGTGTATGTGTATACAGTTGTGGTCAGAAGTTTACATACACTTGTAAAAAATATAATATAATGGCTCTACTGAGTGTCCCGTTATTTCTAAAACTCTGATTTTTCTCTGATAGAGTGACTGGAACAGATACTTCTTTGTCACAAAAAACATTCATGAAGTTTGGTTCTTTAATGTCTTTATTATGGGTTAACAGAGAAAAGTGATCACATTTGCTGGGTCACAAATATACATACAGCAGTGCTAATATTTGGTTACATGTCCCTTAGCCATTTTCACTTCAGTTAGGCGCTTTTGGTAGCCATCCACAAGCTTCTGGTTGAATCTTTGACCACTCCTCTTGACAGAATTGGTGAAGTTCAGTTAAATTTGATGGCTTTCTGACATGGACTTGTTTCTTCCGCACTGTCCACATGTTTTCAATGGGGTTTAAGTCAGGACTTTGGGAAGGCCATTCTAAAACCCTTATTCTAGCCTGATTTAGCCATTCCTTTACCACTTTTGATGTGTGTTTGGGGTCATTGTCCTGTTGGAACACCCAACTGCGCCCAAGACCCAACCTTCGTGCTGATGATTTTAGGTTATGTTGAAGAATGTGAAGGTAATCCTCCTTCTTCATTATCCCATTTACTCTCTGTAAAGCACCAGTTCCATTGGCAGCAAAACAGCCCCACAGCATAATATTCCCACCACCATGCATGACTGTAGGCATGGTGTTCTTGGGGTTAAAGACCTCACCTTTTCTCCTCCAAACATATTGCTGGGCATTGTGGCCAAAAAGCTCGATTTTTGTTTCGTCTGACCACAGAACTTTCCTCCAGAAGGTCTTATCTTTGTCCATGTGATCAGCAGCAAACTTCAGTCGAGCCTTAAGGTGCCGCTTTTGGAGCAAGGGCTTCCTTCTTGCACGGCAGCCTCTCAGTCCATGGAGATGCAAAACACGTTTGACTGTGGACAATGACACCTGTGTTCCAGCAGCTTCTAATTCTTGGCAGATCTGCTTTTTGGTGATTCTTGGTTCACTCTTTACCCTCCTGACCAATTTTCTCTCAGCAGCAGGTGATAGCTTGCGTTTTCTTCCTGATCTTGGCAGTGATGAAACAGTGCCATGCACCTTATACTTACAAACAATTGTTTGCACTGTTGCTCTTGGGACCTGCAGCTGCTTTGAAATGGCCCCAAGTGACTTTCCTGACTTGTTCAAGTCAATAATTTGCTTTTTCAGATCCATGCTGAGCTCCTTTGACTTTCCCATTGTAGCGTTTGTGGGCGTTTGTATCCAATGAGCCCTATTTACCTGGCCTAAGAGAAGTCACCAGCTGTAGTCACTCATAATCACTCACAAGAAGTTAAGAGGCCATGCTATGAAGCTCAGTTCACTGACACGTTTCTAAGTCACCAAAATTGCTAGTTCATGTTGCTGTATGTATATTTGTGACCCAGCAAATGTGATCACTTTTCTCTGTTAACCCATAATAAAGACATTAAAGAACCAAACTTCATGAATGTTTTTTGTGACAAAGAAGTATCTGTTCCAATCACTCTATCAGAGAAAAATCAGAGTTTTAGAAATAACGGGACACTCAGTAGAGCCATTATATTATATTTTTTACAAGTGTATGTAAACTTCTGACCACAACTGTATATAAATATATATACATACAAACATACGTTGGTTGGTCTGTCGGTTGATTGTAGTGAATTTTTAAGAATGACGCGACACCCCAACTTATGTTCAGCGTGTTTTCTGTTCAGATTGAGCAACTGAAGTGTAAATGGATGAGAAAGTCACAGCAAACTGGGGACTTCATGCTCCATCAATTTTATAGATGCTGGCTCAAGTCAACAACGCATGGTGACCTATTTCAGCGTCACTCTATTTATATAATACATGACAAAACAAAGCTGGAGGGGTACAGTTGATGACAACTCAGTTTAACTTTCAATTTATGATCCCTCAAAGTTCAGAAAAGTTTTATATTACATGAGCAAACGTGCAGCCATTTTTAATGATGTTTGTTTAACTGTTGTTTGGTTTTTTTTCCAGGGAGTATCTGGGCAGACAGCTCCAGTCCACCGACCAGCAGCAGGCTCCCACTGTGGCAGCTCGAAGCTGAGCTCTTCCTCTGCTTCTGCTTCTATGTTTGTGACTTAATGTGTGGATGATCTTCGGAGCGGTGCTGAAATCAGCGCATCGGTTTGTGTAATGAATTCAAAATCAAACGACGTTATTCCCGCCTCCAGCAACCCCAACCCCCCAAATGATCCCGGATGTTACCTGATTTATTTGTCGTGTTTCATGTGCGCTTTGTGACGTGTTGAGGTTCAAGTTGCTCTTTGTGTCTGTGAAAATGTACAAAACTGCAGGATATTTAAGTCTTACTTGTAAAATGTTTGAATTCCAATAAAGATGTTTATCGTGGTTTTGATGTGATGCGTCTCAGTTTTTGAAATCATGAAGGCGGAAAAGCCAAAAACAAGTCAAATGAATTCAAAGACTACTTATTTAATGTAAATCAGACCAAATTTAATCAACAATGAAAAGTTCTAATGGAAGATTTTTCTATTTGTTCATTTGATGTCATATTTGTGCACATCTGCCTTTGGGATGAATTTGAATTTATATAGAAGAACATTCAAAACAGCTGTTTTGTAGCTCATTTAACGCTCGTCTCCTCTGTACCTAAAGTACAAGTAATCAGCTACATCAAAGGCTTTTCTGGAAAACGTGCTGGAGTATTTGTTTCATCGTGTGTTATTTTAATCCAATGCCTACCGTTGGTCGGATGGATGCAGATCACTTTGACTTTAGCTCCAGCTCTTCTCACCATCAGTATTTCACAGATGAAACCAGGCGAGGGTCACCCAGCCCCGTAAAGCAGACCCTCAGGGAATCTGGTTATGTCCCGTCATTGCTCTCATCTTAGCAGGACCTTTGAGAAGCAGGTTACACTTAAGCTAGCTTTCCATGAGTTTTTACGAGTCGCTCGCATGTCATTGAGACTTGATCACAGACAGATTCACAGATGCCGCATTGGCCTGACTAAAATCCGGACTGCTGTTAAATCAATATGAAGTTTGACTTTCTAAAGCTCTAAAGTCAGCTTCAAACCTTTTCTGGTTTTGTATAATAAGTGCTTTATAAAGGACATGAATGGATTTTTTATTAAACCAAGAAACAGCCGTTGCTGTCGCTCTTTGCGCTCGTTAGGCCAAGTTCAAGTGCTGATTTTGTGTGCGTGAAGTGAATATGCAGAAAAGCCTGAGATTCAACCCTGAGAGCTTCTTTTTGTGAGGCAACAATGCTAGTCACCCACTCTACATCAGAGCCTGTAAACGTGTAAAGTAGTTGTAGGGGCGTTCTTTAAATCAGCCACAATTCCCCTTCAAAAACAGAGTTTGAGGATCTGAAAGAACTTTTTAAAAGCAAAGAGTAGGTGACTACATGTTTAATTATAAAACGACACCAGTAGTTCAGTTAATTAGAAATGTTAAATAGAAGAACATTTGCATGCAGCTGTATGAGCAGGAATGGAAACTAAAATGTGAATTGGTAATATTTGTCAGCTGTTGATGTTGTTTTCATATTTCCACTTCAAATATCAACGAAGTGTGGTGTTTGCCCCGGGGTGCACCGTTTTCCATGGACTCTATTAGAATTTGCAGCAGCCACTGTCTGTTTTGCACCAGGAAGCCAGACACGGAGGCTGGCAGCAGCGTGCCTGAGGGAAATCTGTTTCCAGATGCCTCTATCGCCGAAGTTTAAACACCACGAGGAACCTGGACTTGTTTTTCCCGACTCGGAATCCTCTGTAGAAATCAAGCTACACAAGCAGGGAGTCCTAATGTTCTCGAGAACTAAACTTGTGCTTAAATTCTCACGGCTGATTTAACTTTCCAGCAGACAAGTTGTTATTCCTCTTTGTTCTGGGTTTCAACCTCGGTAAATAAAGACCACCCATTCAGTGGTAACCCTCATGGCCTCTGGAGCATTCACCAGGCCATCATCCAAATCAAGCTCATCTCTGCAACCACTCATCTGTGTTTTTGTGTGTCTAAGAGCTGGGGAGGATGGGGACGCATGTAAAGTCAATATTTGTGTAGAGGTTCATCACATCTGGCTGTAGCTGCCTGGCCTTGCTTTGCTCTCCAAACACGGCTTTACCGAGGCTGGCACGCGATGCTCCCGGTGCGTAACCTGTACCAGCCGAGTGAACTCCAGACCCTGAAGCAAACACTTTAAATCCCTTTCTGCTGCTTTTGTTATTCCATTCACATTTTCCCTCTGGGGCTGAGGAACAGACTAGAAAAGGAGTTTGTGCTGGCAGTGCTGCACATTCAGCCTCGGTTTGGCCCAGAGATGACGAAGTTTGCTTGTTTTTTCATCAAGAGAGTGGATGTGAAAGTTTTCCGGAAAGTCTTAAAGAAGAAACGAAAAATCAAACAAGCCTCTAAGGCATTTGACATCTTTGTCTGTCTGAAGAAGACCATTGTTGCCTCGGCCAATCGATCAAATCCCTTTGCTCTTGCAAGCATGGGTCAGACACTGTCCGTTCCCATAGTGACGATCAAAACAAGACTCTGCTGTCAGTGTGAAGCTCCATTTAATCCTGCATCTAAGGGGAGTCGCCGTGTGTGTTCTTGCTTTGCACCTCCGTGGCATGGTATGTATGCGGATAGCTTCTGTGTCACGCTGTGAAATCAGCGGTGTTTTGTGGACACTGGAATTACCTCATCTGAAAGCTTCTTTCCAAATAGCTCACGGCCAAGCGAAGGTGCACTATAATTACCTTCCTGCTGGGCTGTGTTCTTTCACTCCAGGTTAGCATTTCAGACCGCATTGAATCAACTCCCTCCTCTTAAGCAACCGATCGGTTAAGTGGAATTAGTAAAAATGTGACTTTAAGAGAGTTTTTTTTTAAAGATTCTGGACACAATCAGATCGCTGCTGATAAAGATAATCAGCCGGTTTAGTGCTGAGTGGTTGCTCGTTTATGGGTTCTCATATTACGCAGTAGGAAGTCTTAATGTCCTTGTCATTATTTGCTTAATGCTGTTTCAGAAGATGGGTTTTAGATACCTTTAAAAAGACAATAACTGCTAATAACACATACAAATACAAATCAAGCCTCATTTATTCTTTATTTTAATGCAGACAAACTAAACATTAGATTTTTCCACCATGCAGCATCAACATTGGTGTGAGTGAATAAACGTAGGGGTAAAAAGTGAGCAGGGTCTCACACACCATCTCTATGTGTGAATCATCCCCAAGCAAAGTGAAGCAACAGGCCCATCATTTAATCTGGAAGGACGTCACCTCGCCCAAAGCAAATGAAAAGCCTCCAGCGTGAATTAAAAACACACTATTGACTATTTATGCATGCACTAACTAAAAAGTGATGAGTATACTTGACTGTGTTGTTTTTGTCACCAGACTGTGTGACTATGACGATGACAGCAACGGCTAATTAGAACTGGGGTGTCGAGATGCAGAAAGTGTTCTCCACAAATGCGCTCAAGTGAGTTTACAAGAGCATCCAAACGGATCTGAGTACATAATGTGCTGCTCGCTAAATACGTGGCTGCTTTTGACCCAGTTTGTTTGGATCCTCTGGGTTTCAGCCATGCTGGTAAGTTCATTCGCAGCCATATTTTTTGGGAACATTTAGCAACAAACTGTTCTGGTGACAACATCAACAGCAAAACTGCCACTGACATCGTGCCAATCCCATATTAAACAAGCTAAAGTCAGACTGGGATGGGGTGACCTGCATTGACCGGCCATCTGGATACCTGGACATGAAGGTGATGATCTCTGTGAGGCAGAACGATGTCTGCATACCAAAGCTCTTTCACTCAAACGTGTCAGCATGCAGCTGAGGTGGGTTTGACTTTTATACAGAACAGGCTGATAACTGTGCAAGAATTTGACACACAATGGTGCCTTTTGCTTATTCACAGGTGGGTCATGAACATAACAAATCCTGAACCGAAACCTAGTCCTCGTTCTCCCTATATACCCAGGCCAGAGATTCCTCCAGATAGTTCTGGGCCTGCCTCTTGTTCCTTTTCTACAGAGGAAGGTGATGAGAAGAGGAAGGTGATGAGAAGAAGGTATCCTAATCAGATGACCGAACCACCTCCGCTAACTCCTTACATGTGGAGGAATTGCTGCTCTAGTCCGGGTTCTCCCCAAATGACGAAGATCCTCTTGATTCATTAGGCTGCGATCCAGATGTTGTGATATTTTGTAAACTTCTTCTCCACAATGACTGCAGATTATCACTGAGCACGTTTTTGCTTAATCCTTATAGGTCACTTGTGAATAAAAACAGTGCTTGACCTCCTCCACGCATTCTAAATTCATCAGGTTAAGAACCATGACCCCAAACTTGGAGGAGCTGACCCTTGAAGATGCACACAGAGCCGCATCATCAGCAAACCATTAGAGATGAGTCGGGTCTTATATGTAAGTATGTAATCTGGCCTCGACCCATAGACAGAGTTTAGTAAGGGGGGAGCCTACAGTTGGCTTTCAAATGGTCTCTGTACACATCAGATAATGCTAGGATCAATCAGAGCAACGGACAATGTGACTAAAGCCTAGTTTAAGCTTCTGCGTTGGTGCGGAGACACGCAACACCATTATCCGTCCCTGCGAGCCGAGCCCAGTTTTCTAAACATTTGTCCAACGAGACAGAGAACAAAGGCTTGGGATTGGTCAGGATAGCACTTTCGCCAACATCACCCCCATCGCGCCCTCAAAACAAAGAGCTGAAAATATCTAGCGACAGACACGGAGCAGCTTTAAGAATATCTCGTGGAAAAACTCTAAACATATGAACGCTTATTCACCCGTGACTGGAGGAATTAAAAGATACGCAACAAGTGTTTTATTCAAAGATGGAGATTACGGAAAACGTGGGTTTAGAGGTGGCGAGTGCATCAGGGGGTTGAGGAGAATGAGGGATAAATTTGTCCCTGTTAAAAAGTCTCTGAAATACAAAAAAACACAATAGTAAATAAACTATCTTGGACTGGATACATGACAGGAGGACACCACAGAACAGGGCTACACCCTTTGTTGCCCTCATGGGAAATTGCTTTGCAACACTCCCCAGGAGACGGAGAAGTCGGAGAGCAAAACATCCGTCAGTGTGTGTGTCTCCCTTGTGGAGCTGATGCAGAAGCAGAAACTAGGCTTCATCCATTTTTATGGAAATCAGTCAATGAGGCAGTTTCCATATGAAGGAAAAGAAGTAAATACTTTTACAAAATAAAGGACTTAAGTGCCTCTATCTGCTGATGTCTCAGAAAATTCCAAATCTTAATCGTCCAAAGTTTATGCCAAAGACTTTCAAGTGAGCACTCGTCTAGGGCTGATGTCATCTTTGTAGTTTTTGTCCGTTGCAGCTCTGGTGCTACGGCCATAGACATTAATACGTAGACGCCCCATTGGGCGCTGGGGAGCGTAACAGCATCACCACCATATTGGATGGATTCCTCTCTTGAGCTGGAAGGAATGCATGATGAGCAACTGTGCTTGTTTTTTGTGCAGCTTACAGTTGCAACAACTTGTTGAAAACAGATCACATGGGACTTTTGTAGCCTACCTGTTGGGAGATTATTTTTATTTGTATTACTATTTTTTTTTATTACATCTTAACTATCATGCCAGACTGTATGTCTGATTTTGCGAAAAGGTTTAATAAAATTAGTTTTTTTTTAGTCGGGTAAGAACCTTCCTCAGTAGGAATAAATGCACTGGGAGTAAATGGACACCCATCGAAGACGGTAGCTGGCCACTACGGCAGCTCCAATAGGCAGCGCCAGTCCACAGGGCGTTTACATATACAGGGGTATATGTCTGTAGCTAAGATCACCCAACATCTCTCTACAGAGCGCTGTGATTGGCCCAGTCTAAAACAGTTTGAGGCATTGGTAGACCTTCTGAGGCTACAATGGAGCATGGCTAGATGAACCTGCAGCGAAAAATCTTATTCTACTGCTACAGTTGGTCTAGATGTCTGATTTCCCCAAACCAGAGACCTTCCTCTTCATTTTGTCACAGAGAAACCTTCACTGATTTAAGCTACCTCAAAATTTGATGATAAATTGGCAACAAGAGGCTTTTCTGTTTCATTCAGTGCTTGTTTTGTTGTAAACTCATCAAAACACAAAAGAGGAAAAGTGTTTCCGCGCTGAGATTTATAAAACTAAAAATCGAACTCCTTGACCAGAAGTCCACACACAAGCCTGTCCTGCTCAGGTGCCCTGTTAACATCTGCTAAAGCCCTGAAATCTGTGTCATGCCCCGAGGATCCGTGATCTGATGGATGACTGTGCCGAATACAAATAGTTCGGCAATGACTCACTTTTAAGCACAACAGTGAATTGGTCTCTGACTGCGTTTCAGCTTTGAGGTGCTGAACATCAAAAGCATGCGCGCGCACACACACACACACACACACACACACGTTTATGGGATTCTACTAGAAGGATGAGAGAATGTGACCTAATGCAGATGCACAAAACCTACAAAGACTTCCCCAAACATTTGTGCAGCATTTGCAAGATGCTGCGAAAAACAAAGTTTTGTTCCTGTGAATGTACTTTCATTTCAGGAAGCGGTTTTACAGTCAGCTTTGGTTTTAGTGCATTAAAACACACCTTCTGTCCTGTGAGCAACACCTCTCCAACACTCCAACACATGTGACACATTAAGGCCGTGCTAATGGTATGAAATGGCATGCAATTTTGTCCTCCCAGATGGGCGCTGCAGAAACGCTCTGAGCTTTATCAGGAAAGTGGTTTGGGATGACGTTTTATCTGAACATCATATTTGTATTTCCCCTTTTATGGAATACTTTTGTCAGATCTCAAGAGATGCTGACAAACCTCAGTGAGAGTTCAGTTTGGTGCTCTTTTTGGTCAGTTATTTACGTTATCAGCTGAAAGCCTGAGATCACGATTTTAAGTTGATTTTCCAACAACATTTTAGACTTTTTGGATTATTGTTTCAGTTTATTAAAAATGAAATATAATTTGAAAGGAGGGTGCATCCTGACCTTTCATGTTAAAATCAAATTGATACAATAAAATAAATGGTTTGACGTTTGATTTGGAGGCTGACTGCCCGCATCAGGAGTCCCATTGAACTCTGGAATGATTATTAATGTCTGGCAGTGCATCATTCAGCTTTATTTAAGTAGATTTCCTGCTTGCGTTATTTCCAGCAGCCAACTATTTTTATTTATTTATTTTTTTGCTGTTGTTTGTTTAAAAAAAACATCAGAACCATTAAACCATAAGTTGAGAGCGTCTTTGCTCTTCACCACAAATGCAGTAGAAAGCTTTTTACGGCCGATCCTTTCTAGTTTTTGTGAAAACACATTGCAGGTTTGATATATTCTTTTTTAGGTCATTATTTTTCCTAATTCTGCAGCATTTCTGTTAGGGAAATCACGACTTTTTAAACATATAAACAGTTTATTGATGATGATTTTGAATTTATCATTTTCTGCTCCAAAATGGAGCGTTTTCTCATTCTGAAAAAAAAAACTTTTAAAGTTAGAGGAAACTTGATAAAATGGTAACTTGCTGGAACAGCAAAATCAATGTGACAGCATAATTAAAATACACATATATATTTAGGACACATTAAACACAAATTCAATTCAGATTAAAAAAATCAGATAAAAGGCAAAGATAAAGGGTGAGAAGTTACAGTGCAGAAGGTGCAGCATTCATAGGCTAATGAATGCATGAATGTGAGGAAAAAAAGAAAGATTAGTCTTTTTTTTGCCAATTTACCGATAAAGGATTGAAAACAATACTGTAAGCATAGCTAAAAGAACAAAAGTGGCTGCTGCAACTGGGACTTGAACCAGTGTGAGGTCATTGCAAGACAGCATGCCAGGTAATTACTCTAAACACTGGGCTGCCTAGTCTCTTACAGGTAGTTGGTCGCCTAACACACGTATCCTGTGCTGACCGTTGCGTGTGTTTTTGTAGACAGGACTCGTGGTTTTTGCGGAGGCGTTTTGTCCCCAATGCAGAAGTAATTTGTCAGAATATCCACTCTGGTACCGGTGGAGGCGTAAAGCAGTCATCTGTCACATCAAAATCAGGAGGAGCAATGCCTGATGACGCACTTGGTTTCCTTTGAGGCTTTTCCAAAACATCTGAAAACTTGCAGCTGAGACTGGAAAATGCATGACTGCAGCCAGAAACGGGTTTGGGGTATTTTTCATGAGAAAATTGTATCACATGCACTCCAAAAAGTGGATTTTCTATTATATTTTAGCAAAAGCACGAGTTACATCCACAGTACCTGGAGTTTACTTTGTTAACACAAAATAATTTCAAAACAAAAGCGTACTAATCCTTGACCTTGTTTGCTGGGGGCTACAATTCTTCTCCTCCCTTGGAATTTAGATTTAAAAAGTGCTGCTTCGAGTGCCAGAAGAAGCAGAGCTGATTGTATCTGTGCATAAACAAACCTTTGGCGCTCCATTATTAACATTCAAGGTAAACACCGTTACTGTCCTCTGAGTCGCTCTCGCACGGCGAAGAAGCAATGTGGTTCAAGGTTCAAGCAGGACCTCGGAGAGAGTTTCTATCAAATATTTGCTCTGGCGGACGCAGGCTGAAGAGGGGAACACACTGACAGCAAGGCTTTGTCACTCAAACAACATCTGGCCATGGTGGGTCTCTAAGCAACTGCATGAGTGGAGGAGAAGGAAAAAGCACATACCTAATGACGCCTGGTTGGAACCTGTCTCATGTCTGTCGCAGGGAATTAAAAAAATGTTCAAGTGGAGCGGGGTTTCAGTCAAGAGGGGCTCTCTTCATCTAGACCCACGGTGTGTTTTTGTTGATGAGGTTACTGCAGGGTGGTGAGGTGGAGAGAAGATGGGACATGAAAGAGGTTGTCTATCTATGGTTAAATTGGGGCTTTTCATTGTTTTCAGTGAAATTAATTAATTAAATTTAAGAATGAGTTATAAGATAAGAGTTTTCTCTGAATTCCTCCCTTTGAGTGTTTGTTTTGGTTACTTTAAAAATTACTTTAGTTGTTGTGTTCTTGGAAATTATCTGATGCCCCCAGCTGAAGGTTCCACCTGAAACCTTCAAACCAGCTTTTTTGCATCGCCAAGTTCAAGAACTTCCAAGGACCATATAAGAGCAGATATTTTCAGAATTCTCGCAACTTGAGTTCCCTATAGGGATGTTTCCTGTTCTACTCTTAGCAACTTATTGAACCAATACCTAAACATTAGTGGGATCAAATCAGCGTGAAGGTGTTCTAGAGGTCACATTTAGGACTCTTAGGGGTGAGAATAATGCAAGAATCTCCCAAACGTTAGAGCACACTTCCAGCTGATGGTGATTCTTGTGGCTTGAACCCTTCTGCTGGCTGTCATATCATGGGCTCAGCCTCTGATGTCACTGAATGAGCAGTGCGGGCTTCCAGTGCGCACCTTCGGGCGCGCAGCGGTGGCACAAGCTGCGAATTTTCCCTCCTCCTTCACTCCTTACCCAGAAACCAGCTGTTCCTGCTAAATTTCTCTGTTTCCACTTTCATTTTTGTGGTTGTGCGCCTTAAAAACGTCTCTCCACCGCGCTTGAGTTCTTTGAATGGACTTTTTGAAAATACTTTCGAATTAAAAGAGGTGAGATGCATTAGTTAATGTCACTGTGTGTCTTTTGCGCTTCGTTTTTCCTTTGCAACAAACGTAACTTTTATTTTGTCAGATTGTCGGCTGTATTTTTTGGGGGGGAAGGTGAAGTTGAGCGGTCAGTGCGCGCTCCGCAGCAGCGGCGGCGGGAGGAGCAGCGGTGTTCAGCACCATGGAGAGCGGCGTGGTGCACATCTTCAAAGAGGACCGGTGTCCTTCGGGTCAGTCCGGTGAGTGCGTGCCGAACTTCACTTGGCAGCCTGGCTTATCTGACGTCTTCAACTACACTCCGAACGGGACCTGGGACTCCGAGCCCGAGCCTATGTCGCCCATCATCCCCATCATAGTCGCAGTGTACTCGGTGGTGTTCGTGGTGGGCTTGGTGGGTAATTGTTTGGTGATGTATGTCATCATCAGGTGAGTTTTGCTCTTTGATGTGTGTGTGGGTGTGCGTGTGCGTGTGTGTGTGTAAAAAAAGAGGGGTAGAAAGGGTGAGCGCGTGCAAACAGCATGTGGGAAATTGGTGCGTATGTGTGATTGCGCGTGAGGATTGTTTTGCTTTCATAAATGTGTGTGGCCAGAAGCCTGCTCTGTGCGAAAATTGCCTTTATTTACATATATATTGGATTTTTCTGCTTTTAGAGGGCGTTTCTTTGTTTTTGTATTAGAAACATTACCTCTCTTTGCTTTGACTCTTATTTTCTTCTTGGCCACCCTGAGTTAAAGCAACTGGAGTGTCTGTTTCCTCCTCTGAAAGGTCACCTGCTCTGCTTCATGCAGTTAAAAGATTCACTCAGATCGTTCAGTGCTGATTTAAAATGTCTGATCATATTTAAAAATTCTGATCATCATCCTGAGTTCAGTTCATTTTGTGACGTATTTACTTTGTGAACATTTATTTTTTCAGACTAAATGCCGATTTAAAAAGATTATTTCATGAGAAGAAAACTCTTACCCAAAAAACAACATTTTGCTTTGTTTACCACAATAATTATTCTGATGTTTTACAATAATTAACAATTAAATGATATGAATAAAAGGATAAAGTCTGTTTATGAAAAAAAATTCTTATATTTAAGCAAAATGTTTTGAAAAGTTGATGCGAAGACCACAAAAGAGAAGAGTTATTATAAAATAATTTTATTTTTTTAATTAAATGTGAAAATGAATTAATTACATTGTATAGCAACAACAAAGAAACCTCATAATGAACAAATATTTATACAAATAAAATAAAAATTTGGTCAAATGAGGTCAATTAGTGTTTGGTTAATTATTTCTTAATTTTTTATAAGACTTCTTGTGTAAGGATTGCGCATCAATGGAATGAGCAAATGCTAAAATTCAAGGTGATGTTCTCCTGCTTTGAGCTTTGAGTGGTGCCAGGTGTGCTTCGGTCAGGTTTGCATGACTGGTCTCTGATTGGCAGCCAGAGGGACTGTCACCACCATGCTGGCTGACCTTCACCATATTCTGGTTGAGGATTGGGGTCTGACTGATGACCAGCATGAGGAGAAGGAAGAGCCACTATGTTGTGGCTCAGTGTGCATCTTCTCCATGCTAATGATGCACCTGACAGTATAAGTCAAGGTTAAAAAAAAGCCATCATGTGGGGTGTTTTTCTGTTTATTTATATTTGTTAGTGTTTTTATTATTGTGGGAAAAGTGCGGTCATCGTTCAACAAAGGAATAATCAACCAAGCACTACTATTTTGGCGTTTATTTAGTATTTTCTGATTGGAATTGTAGATTATCAGCAGATTCAGAAAATCTTTCTCTTTGAAAGAACTGGAAAAAATGTGGGTTTTAGATCTTTCAATTACATTTTAAAAAGCATTTTTCCAAATAAATTAAGGGTGAGTGAGTCTAAATGAAGCTTGGCAAATGTTGTTTCTGTGACAAGACATGACCATCTACAGGTGAGACTCAAAATATTCAAATATGGTTCCAAAGTTCATTTTAAGTCTAATTCAACTTAATTAGTATACGAGCTAGACTCATAACATGCAAAGCCAGATTTGTCAAGCCTTTGTTTGTTATAACTGTGATGGATGTGGCTTTCAGCTTATGGAAACCGCACATTCAAAACACTCGAGCACAGCTAATGAATGCAACACTCCTATAGAAGCTTCCTGAGCCTTTAGCTCAGGGCTATTCAATTCTGGTCCTGGAGGGCCAAATCCAGCATGTTTTAATGGTTTCTCTGCTCTAACACACTTGACTCAGTGGTTGAATCACCTGCAGCAGCTCATCAGGCTCTGCAGAAGCCTGCTAATTATACCTGCTGATTGAAACCAGGTGTGTTGAAACAGAGTTAAAACTAAATCATGCTGGATACCGGTCCTCCAGGCCAGAAATTGATTACCCCTGCTTTCGATGGTCTCTCAGTCTAAGCTGAAATATTGCAAAAAATGGACATTTGCACCAGGGTTTAACCTGAGTAATCCAAGGTGAATATCAGTCATCATTTAGGGATGAACAACATGGGTGATATCGCTGAACGATACTCAGCTACTTGAGCCATCTGTGGCAGATGTTTTAGGACAAGATTTGCTCATTTCAGCAAGACAAATGACTTTTTTCACACACTGGGATTTTTCTCGCCCACCTTTCCAGATACACCAAAATGAAAACAGCCACTAACATCTACATCTTCAACCTGGCTGTGGCTGATGCGCTGGTCACCACCACCATGCCTTTCCAGAGCACCGACTACCTGCTCAGCTCCTGGCCATTTGGCGAGGTGGCGTGCAAGGTCTTCATTTCTATCGATTACTACAACATGTTCACCAGCATCTTCACCTTGACCATGATGAGCGTGGATCGCTACGTGGCTGTGTGCCACCCAGTCAAGGCGCTGGACTTCCGCACACCTGTGAAAGCCAAAATCATAAATGTGATCATCTGGGTGCTGTCGTCAGCTGCTGGGATACCTGCCATGGTGCTGGGAAGCACCAACACCAATAACGGTACTTTTACCCTATTGTTAGCATTACTTGTTAATTCTGAGTCAGCTGAGCTGTTTCGTTTCCTTTCTTATTGTAATTGAGATTTAAGTTCAATCTTTACTCTCTACTTATACAAACTGAGTTCATATTACTTACAAACGTGTAATTTTTAATACCCCTTATAAATTTGAGTAAACTATACTTTTTAATAGCCTAGCTTATTGTACCTATATGTTTGAGCTCAAACTACTTAAAATAATCAAGTTTGCTTGGTTGCACCCATTAAGAACCTGGTCCACACCAGTTTGGACCAGGTGTCATTGAGGAGCTCTGACTCTTGAGAGGCAGAACGGAGAAGCACAGAACTAAGAGGATTAACTCAGATGTACTGAAGTTCTAACAAGCAAGTTTTCCACCCCATGTTTGAAGCATTATTCAAATGACCAGAGTTTAGTCAACTTAAAACTGCAATTTATAGAAAAAATAACCCCATAGTGGGAATTCATCTTCGTAGTTATTTTTTTTTTCTATTTTGGGGTATTTATTGTGGGGAGGTGGTTGTGTAGTTTTGTTCTTAGTTATTTATTAGTTCAGTGTTGCAAACGTGGAGTTATTTGTTGTTGTCATGGTGGCACCAAAAGTGAGGAGGGTGGTTGGAGGAATGGGACCACTGTGCTGTTCTACTGTTAATATTAAATTAGTGGTTCATCCTTAAGGCATTGGTCTCAGCTCCTTGTGTTCAACACTCACTGACTGTCTGCAATCATGTGAAGCACGAGTTTGCCGGCGTTATTTGGTGTCGGTTTAAATCTACAATCTGGCCCAATTGGAAAAACAGTAATACTTAATAAACAAGCTGACTTAAATAAATGGATGTTTAATAAATGTTCCAGCTAAGTATCTTTAGTTACTGTAACTCGGTTATTAGTACATTCAACTTATGGACTCAAGTACATTGAACTTGTTTTCCTGCGTGCTTCTTACTCAAAATATTTAAGGCAACGGATTACCTGGAAAATTTCAAGTATCCGGGTCCACAGAATATGTGAAACTGAACTTTTCTTCCAATTCATGGGTTTATTTACATCTGATGCAGAGACCTTCATCGTCTACAAAAAGTTTTTCTTTTCAAATTGATAAAAGATAGCGTAGTGAACTAGACCAAATTCTTGCTTTGCAAACTTTGTTCTAGGAACGCCCCGTTGGAACTTCTGCGGACCCCAGTAGCACTATGGCAGGCCAATCACTGCTCTCTATACGGGTTTCAAACTGATAGAGTGCTGTGATTGGTCCTCAATGGTGGGCCAGTCACAGCACTCTATTAGCTTTGTGGGCCAATCAGGGCCCTCTATATGTCTGGTGGGTGGGATGATGCAACAGAGTGGAACAAGATGGCAACAGCTCGTTTACATCAATTTTGGACTATTTGGATTTTTTAGAATCAGTAGCAGATAGATGTGTTTAAGTCCTTTACTTACAAAAAGGATGTATTTTGGCCTTCTTTAACAGCGGACGGCCTCGTTTACGACATCCATTGCGGTGAGTATGTCGCATTGTTTGTTGTCCAGTAGCATGCGGAGATTGTTAGAAAGACAACAGTAGAACCCGCCCCACGACCGAGAATTGTCAATGGAGCGTTGCCAGACTAGATAAAATGGTGTGTGTACTCAAGAATAATCGCTGAATTATCTCTCAATTCAATGAACAAGATGTTCTATAAATTTAACAAAAGCGCACGAGCTCCTTGACAGGAAAATTGGTAATTCGTCGTATGAATGGCTATTAAACGGTTAGTTCATGAAATGAGTTTGACCTTAAGATTTATGGATGAAGAACTCTCATCCTGACGGGATTTTGCATTCATAGCACAGAAGTTCTGCTTCAAACTGATTTGGCAGGAAGATTAGCAGACCTTTGTGATCCACAACAGTAGAATTTTAGAGAATTTCAGGATCTATCCAAAGAACCGTGCTTGGTTTGTCAACCTAAATCTAACACAATTGCTACTATGTGCATGAATTTTATAATACATGTGTGTCCCACTTTAAAATCGTTAGTGGTCGTCAAATGTTTACTTTCTCTCTGTAGTTATTTATGAGAGCAAATGTCACCAGAGGCCAATGTAGAGTGGTAAATGTTGTTGCTTTTAACCTTTACTTATGACCAATAAGCTGTGATATTCTATATAAATATAGAATATCAATCTGCTTGGTCTTTGGATGTTTAATCAGAAGATTCTAGGATTCTTTGCTTTTTCAGGGATCAAACACACTTCATCTCAATTCAGACAGTCAGGTTTATAAAAGATAAGAAATGTATTTTCTAAACAAATTAAAAACAAGACAAGTTAAATAGGACGACTGTGATGGATGAATCTAAGTGGATGTGATGTTATGTATGGTGATTTAATGGTGTGTGTTTATCAGAACCTTGTATCTAGAAGAAAGTGAGTTCTGGGTGAAAAGAATTTGGTTTGCATTAAACTATGAAGTTGGTTCTTTTCAAAACGGCGTCAGACGCAATCTGGCTGCGTTCAACATACTCCTGAGGATACTCCCTTATGGATCCGAGATGTCGGGGGTGGGGGTGGGGGGTTTACCCCAAGGTACCGAAGTTGTAGAAAAGACCGCAGTATGACCTGGTCGGTCCAGTCATCTCCCGGATCACAACAGATAGATGAAATCATTTGCGTCTAGAGCAGCTGTTTCTGAATAGCTGAAGGAACCATTTTGCTGTGTCAGCTGTAGGCAGCTTTTAGCTTGTCGAAAGCTTTGGGTTGAAGAGGGCTCGCTCCGGATGGCCTTTCCGTAGCTTTCTCTAGAACTGACTCACCGTCTAGTGAGCTCTATTTTATTATTCTCATATTATGATTTCTTGGCCAACCGGGACGTGCCATGTTAAGGGGTGTTAACAAGCAAACCTCAGAATGTCGCACCTCTTTCAGATGCAGGATGTTCTGATTTGTGGCTAAGAAAATATCTATGTGTCATGACGTTTAACTTAATTTTAATTTATCTCTAATGAACCTTGTGTCTGAGTGTAGATAATGATTCACTTGTTAAATCTACAATTACTGATCATACCATAATAATATTCATTTCAAACTTCAGCAATTCAAGCACAGATGAATCAACCTTATTAATTTAAGCACAGATTAATCAAAACATTATTGATCATTTCATATAACATTTGTTCATTCCATTTCACGATTGATTAACTCATATGAGCTTTATTCAGAGACATGAGGAATCCTGCGGTGTTATCAAATGAAGGCTTTGTTTAGGAACACAGGCTGACATCGTGTTCCTCCTGAAATGTCAACAAGGTTCTGCGAACCTTGTTGCTTGTTGGAAGGTAGAATGTAAAATCCACCTTAGAGAATGGAATTTATGTCTGCCGGTGACCGGTGGCATGTAGGTCAGCTTTTAGGTGAAAACTGACCATTGCTGGATGTTACACATAGAATAACAGACATTTATTATTATGTCTCATAAAAATGCAATTTAAGGTGTTTTTAAAATAACGTTCGAATGAACTGATGCAAAATATAGAAGAATGGAGTCGTTTTAAGACAACAGCAATCCATCCAAACTAATTGGGTGATGAAAGATTTCATTTGAGGTCCTGAGATTATCTCCATAAACCAAAAAAAAAAGGAAAAAAGAAAAATGAGTCCTTATGGAACATTTATACTGTTACTGATGACAATAATAGCCATGAATGGGCCAAAGTAGTTTATATCTATTATGTTTTTACATAGCGTGTTTGTATGTGTGGAGTAGTGAGGTCGTCTGTACGTTTGGGAACACCTGTTGTATAGATGCATTGAATGTTTTCAAATTTAACGGTGTGGATCACTGAAAACCAATTTCTGATGGTTATTTTTGATTATAATCAGTCGCTCTGAGTGTTCATGCAGGCTGAACATGACAATAGTCTCCTACACCTATCTCCTGCATTAGCTTCTGATAGAAACTAGATTGTGAAATGCTGGGATTTGAAAAGCCTGACAGATCTACATCACACTGTCACTTAACATTCATGGACTCACCCATCTTGACTCACGAAGAGGAAGACTGTTGTCGGTTTAGCATTCTGGAAACAGCAGAGAACGTCCTGACTTGTTTAAGCTAACAGTTAGCATTAGCAACTTCAGCACACAGCAGTACTCCTCCAGGCTTGTGTTATTTGTGGAGAAAAAACATCAGTGTTGCAAGTCAGTGGTAGAGTCGTGTTGCTGTTATCCAATCCGAGTTGAGATTTCCAAAAAATCAGGAAATAAGACTCCAAATCCTGCCTTCTGAAGCTCAGCTGTGATGTGGGTCACTGCTAATTCCTGGAAATGATGCACCGCTATAATCCCCCACCCTGAGTACAGCTCACACAACTTACAACTAGAGACCACCGCAAATGCATTGTTTAAACGAGTGAACCACACCTTTAAATGTGTGATTAAAGTCAGGTTTTCATTGGTCTCAAAACACGTTTTCACATTTTGCTCCATTTATCCTCTTGAAGCCCAAACCTTCTCTAACGCTTCTGTAACTTCTCCATGACCAACAGGTACCACAGAATGTGCTTTGCAGTTTCCCGACCCCTACGCCTACTGGGACACCTTGATGAAGATTTGCGTCTTCATCTTTGCCTTTGTGGCGCCCCTTATCATCATCTCGGTCTGCTACACGCTGATGGTCCTGCGACTGAAAAGTGTACGCCTACTCTCTGGCTCCCGTGAGAAGGACCGCAACCTCCGTCGGATCACCCGCCTGGTGCTGGTGGTGGTGGCGGTGTTTGTGGTCTGCTGGACGCCCATCCACATCTTCATCCTGGTCAAAGCGCTGTCCTCCCATGTGCCCGAGACCACCGCTGTCATGGCGGCCTACTTCTTCTGTGTGGCGTTGGGCTACACCAACAGCAGCCTCAACCCCATCCTCTATGCTTTCCTGGATGAGAACTTTAAACGCTGCTTCAGGGACTTCTGCTGCCCCGGAGGGCGTGGACACGTGGACTGTCAGGGGGTGAGCAGGGTGAGAAGCACACTGAGAGATCACACCTGCCCCACCGAAGGTCGTGGGGACATGAGACAACCTAGGCCGGTATGACTAGCCATGAACATGTCCTCCATGGCTTATCAAAGCTGGGAGGACTCCATTGATCTGTGTTTGACTCAAATCACCACAACGATTTGAGTCAGATTGCCTAGTTTCGATAAATCCCAGGAAATGACCAAAACCAACGATTTGAGTCAGATTGCCTAGTTTCGATAAATCCCAGGAAATGACCAAAACCAACAATGATTTATTGACCGTTTTAACTCTAGAATAATTTGATCGTCATGTAGCTGTGGGTTAATGCTCTAAAGCAGGGGTCCAGGCGGGCCGGTGTCCAACATGTTTTAGTTGATTCAGTGGTTCAATCACCTGCTCAGCAGCTCATCAAACTCTGCAGAAGCTGCTGAAGCAAATCATCTGTGTTGAAGTAGGAAAACATCTAAAACATGCAGGATACCATCCCTCCTGGACCAGGAGTTGGCACCCCTCTAAAGGTACAGTGCCTACATATATAGACTTTTTAATCAGACAAATAGCAGTTTTAAACAGTGATCTATTATGTTTTATTAACAGATATTAATTGATTAATAATAGAATAACAGACGTACAGAGATCATCCTTCTAATAAACTCCCATGTGGCTTAACATTTTATCCGCCACCAAAGCCTTACATTAATGTTTTCAGTCCTACTCATATTGTAAAACCACCATGTTTTTGCTACAACTACACATAATTGGCTTTTCTGATAGCACAGCTGTGGATCAGTGGGTACAGCAATCAGCTGCCAATCAGAAGGTTAGTAGCTCAATCCCCGACTTTGCCCCCCATAAGGTGTCCTTGGGCCAGACATTGAATATGTGTGGGAGTTGAATGTGTATAAAGCATTTTAAAAGGTCTGGAAAACCAGAAATGTGTCCTACAAAACAGTTAATTTAACATCTAATAGTCTGCAGTTTAGTTTAGTTTGTAATATTACAACAATTATTGAATTTACAGTGTGACAGTGATAGAAATAAAGTGCACGTTAATTATATATATGTTTGAGATATAAAAATTAAGTATTGCACTTTGCACTTTACTGCATGATGATATCCGTGTGATAACAGTCGTTGGCCTCCTTAAATGTTGTTGTTTACAAAATTGGTTTGTGATGCTAAAGAAAAATGAAACAATAGAAATTGTCGCTAAACTAACGCTAGAATTTTTTTTAAGTTTCAGCTAGAGCTTTAACGTTGACCCAGTAATGGTTGAGTGAGAAACTTTACCAGTTTCATAACTGAAACCATTCTGCTGACCAAATACTGCACTTTACCTGCTTAATGCGTGTTGGCTGTAAGGCTAGCAGTTAGCCTTTTCAGTTCACTGACTGTCAATAAAAAGCAGAAGATAAAGTAAAACGTGAAGTTAGCTTTTTCTGTTGGCATAATGGTGGAGCCTGGAAGTAAACATAAGAGAGTAAATTCTTTGGAGGTGAAGCCAAGAGCTAAAACCAGAGTGAACATTGATGCGGCCAATGCTAGTTTACGGGAGCTTAAGGAGGCTACAAAATCATGGACAGGTGGTGACCTGGCTTTGTTGCTGCTGGACTTGTAAGGATAAAAAATGTTTGTCCATCAGTGTGGATCTTTTTACTTTGTGATTTATTGTAGTATTAGTTGACTCATGTTAGTGTTAGCTTGGTGTTAGTGCTAGCGAGAGCAGGCTGCAGCAGGGTTGTTTAGGACAGTTGTAATTCCATTTTCAACCAGCAGGGAGTAGGAGCAAGAAACTTCTCTGTGTTCCTTTACCTTACCCCTAAAGATAAGAAAGATTTAAGAAGTTTAATCTAAGGTTAAGTTATCACATTTATCTGTATTAATTAAAAATAACACAAAATAATTTCAATAAAATATTAATGCATACCAACAAATTTAAGCCAGCATTTCACTTATTTCCTTAAACATAAACAGTGTTAAATATTAGAGTATTCATGACATATCACTAAAATTTCACCAAAATTTTATTAATTAAAATGTTTAAAAAAAAGACAGACTAACATTGTTGGTTTAGTTCTTTTTGTGGGATCAGTTTGTATTAAATAAACATTTAGTTACATTTAATTTAATTAGTCAATTTCATGGCTGTGAGATATTTCAGTGTAAATATGACTTTACGAGAAGATAAGAAGATCCTAAATGTTTGTATATAATTTCATATTTTAGGAAGCTGGACGTGAAGATCATCATGTTGACTAAAACAAACAAGTTTTTTTGTTTGTTTGTCTGACCTGTGTATTACCTGAGAGGCTGTCACACTAAGGTAAATTATTTTTGTTCTCGTGCACAAAAGATCAACTGCAGCTTCAGGCAAAGGAATGAAAAAAATGTCCCTAAGGATTTATTTAAAAGACTTGCATTTTAACTCCATTAAGCATTTTTACATGCTGCTGTGTATTTGCTCTTTAAAAAGGTAGAATATCCAAGCCCCTCTCAGGGATTATTCTCTGTGAATTGCAGCTGAATTACAGGAGGGAATTTTTTTATGATTGGATGGTCAGAGCCAGCCCAAGGCAGATGAGAATTAAGCAACTGCTTTGGGCTCCCACACCACCAGGGGGCCCCCCAAGCACACCAAGATGACGTGAGGAAAAAAGGTTTTAATGACTTCAAATAATAGGGAGTCATTCTCCTCCCTGTGCGGTCGACTCATGGGTCCCCGGAAGATCAAAAAAAATGAGTGCAAGTCAACGGGGCTAAAAGAGCTATTTTCTAATCTGTGTTGCTTTAGACCCTGGATCACACATGTCATACTTATATTTAAATGAAAAGTAATTATCTGTGTTTCCACCAGGCCAGTCTCATACTTTGAGATTTATCATCTTGTAAAAGTTTGTAATTAGCATGACTACAAATCCGACATCGGCACGTCACATATATGACATCACCACAGAATCTCCTCTCCTCTAGCGTAGCTGCTATTTACCAAATGGCCGAATTTATAGTCGTTCTTTCCTCCTGAAGGAAGGATTTGAAGTTCGCTGAACTTACAGCCCTTTTCCCTCTGTTCTGCTTCATGTCTGGTTCGATGACGTCATTATGGTGAGACGAGCATTTGTAGTTCTACATGTCTTTTCACACAAAACCTAAAATAGCAAAAATCAGCGCTTTCTTCTCGGGCATCATACATGAAATCCATGGCACATAATAAGCAGAGTTAGAAAACAGCATTTTTAGCTCCATTGACTTGTGTTAATTTTTTCATTCTTCCAGGGGCCCATGGTCTGGAAGTAGATGGGCGTGACAGACTCCCTTTACCAGCTAAATAATATTTCCCATTAAAAAACGATTTATATGTATTCATTTTCTGTAGCGTCATTTGGTTTTATTTTCTAGTGCAGAACATTTTACATATTTCAAATTTTAACTCTGAAACTACACGGGCAGAGGGCTCCAAGGTTAAAGCCATTGTGGCAATAACAAGCATGTATTATAAGATGTATCTAAGCAGCTTGTCTCAATGTTAAATCCGTAACTGTACATTTATGCTCATTATTCTGGCTTTCATGCTGAAAATACTGCTTTGTGACAGCAGATGAAGTCCAGCTATCTACGTAATGTTTGGCTGCATTTTCAGATGAAAATTGCTGTTTTGGTGACAAAATTTGAATTTACACAACTTCAATGTAAATGTTTACTCTTGCAAAATAAATGTGACTTTTTTTTCTGAAAACTGTAAAATCAGTGACCAGTTCAACTGGATTTGTTGAAATAAACTTTAAAATTTGGTTGAGTTTACATATTTATCTGCTTAAATCTGATGTTAACTCAGTAGTTAGAGCTCAAAGGTGTTCTTGTGCCTTGTTTGTGTGCCTTCCATATATTCAGCAATTAGCCACAGCCATTTTGAATGTTTTTGGGTATTCGCTTCAAAGTGTGTAAGGTTGTTTCAGCAAAATATCAAAGCCTCTGTGAGGATATTCCACTTAGCTTGCGTCATATTTAGTACCATAATATTTTAACTTAATCATGAACAAAATATCTGCTAAAAACTCAGTTTTGACCCACACTGTGTGTGTGTGTGTGTGTGTGTGTGTGTGTGTGTGTGTGTGTGTGTGTGTGTGTGTGTGTGTGTGTGTGTGTGTGTGTGTGTGTGTGTGTGTGTGTGTGTGCGTGTGCTCCTGAACCTCTTTCATATTTTAATGTATCTGGATGTCAATGAATGCTTCATAAACGTACAACTGAGTCACAATAAAAAGCTGCAAAACTTGTAAATTGGTTGCTTTATCAGCCAGACAGCACAGAGGATTTCATTTCAGCTCCATTCTTAATCATATCCACGAGAGTTCCAATAAGAGAAGTGCATTTTGCAAATCAGCCATGAAATTGTAACCCACCTCACCGCAGATTCTGTTTTTCGTCTCCTTTTATAACAGCGTTTCCATGGTGAGGGTCTTGAATGAACAGCAGATGTCCAAGGCTCGTTGTACAAATTGTAAAACATTTGGCCTTGCAGAGGAATTTGCAATGAAGGAACGAGCTCAAGGTTATGTAAAATAACTTTTACCGAGACGTTACCGACTCAACAACAGGTGTTTCTGCTGGCACCACAGAAACACACGTACTATCAGCCAGATTTTGTACGTTTGATTCTTCTCAAACACTTGAACTGTAATTTATTTCTGCTCAATGGAAGGAAAAATTAAAGAGCTTCTTTACTTTCCAAACCCTCTGTTCTGCTGTATTTATATATTTACAATATTTGAAAACTCAGATGACAGTGTCACAATATTTAAATCATTTCTTGTTGCAATCTCCAATAATAAGAACCGATGGTGTATGAAAACAGAAAAAAAACTACTTTTACCTCTACAACTGCAGGATTTTTTTTACTTGTTTTATCCTCTAATTTGCATATTTCACAGCATTCTAGCTTGCATAGCATGGTCTCAGTTTTGGATGTGCATGCTGTGTTTGTCTACCATCATGACTCCATATAAAGTGGCTAAAACTGGTTGTGGGTCTCAATAATAAGGAAAGTAATTGAATACAGCTGTGGCTGGTTCAATAAACAAACAGAACAGGGAAAATAACTGGACAGAGCATCTTTAGGAACAAGGGACAGAATCTTTTTCACAAAGGTGGAAATATTTGACAGTTACATGAAGAAATGTTTATCTTCTGCTCCCATAGAGTGCATGTAATCTACCAATACTTAAGTGTAGTGAAGGACTCCGCTAATGCCACCTCATTTTAGCTCAAGGTCTTTAAAGGTCAACTTTACTCATATTTTATATACATTTGCAGTGGTCTCTAGTATGCCTTGTATGTTGTCCTGTGGGAGAAAAAGCTCAGATGCTCCTGTTAGAGGATGTAGAAGTCAGCTAGAGGAGGGAGTGGCAGAAGACGTCAAGATTTGGAGTCTTATTTCCTGATATTTGGACATCTCGCTCTGATTGGCTAACAGCAACGCAACTCTACCACCATCTTTGCAACATGTTTTAGCTCCTCAAATAACACAAGCCTGAAGGAGTTCCTCCATGTTGTGGAAAAATCAACAACAGCCTTCAAGATGGGTGAGTCCTTGAATGTTAAGTGACAGCGAGAGGTCGATTCGTCAGGATTTTCAAAACCGACCATTTTCCCATCTATTTTCTATCAGAAGGTAATGCAGGAAATAGGGGTAGGAGACTATTTTCATGTTCAGAAATACTCAGTGACTGATCATTTTCAAAAGTAATAAATAAAACGGAACCTGCTCTTTAAAATGTATTTTGTGTGTTTGCTAAAGTTGATCAGCTTTGGCTGAGGTTGACTCTGAAAGTTATTCTGCTGTACATCAGACTTTCTGACAGTTTCACATCTATTCAGAGGTTTACGAGATATACTGCAAATAGACAATTATGGAAGTGGATAAAATTTCTTATTATTTTACTTATTTTTTATTTTCCTTACTTGGTTTTGTTTTGTTGCTTCTTTTTGTTTGGTTATCCTATTCGGATAAACAGGAGGGAATGTTATGGAAACATTTATGTTTATTAATTCTTGATCATGGACTCAGTCAGCTGAATGTAAATGTGTTGCTCTGTGCCTCTTTGCATGACACTCAAGACACACACACACACACACATTCTTAACTTCCCACACACACACAATCTCTCTTGAGAGAGAGAGAGAGAGAGAGAGAGAGAGAGAGAGAGAGAGAGAGAGAGAGAGAGAGAGAGAGAGAGAGAGAGAGAGAGAGAGAGAGAGAGAGAGAGAGAGAGAGAGAGAGAGAGAGAGAGAGAGAGAGAGAGAGAGAGAGAGAGAGAGAAGTCAAGAATGTGTGTGTGTGTGTGTGTGTGTGTGTGTGTGTGTGTGTGTGTGTGTGTGTGTGTGTGTGTGTGTGTGTGTGTGTAGTGCGTGTCTTCGCACTGAAGCAGACACAGAAGCATGACTCAGGCTTTAGACACAGAAAGAAATTTCTGAACAAATTGTTCCCAGAGTGCTGTATCAGGGCACCTCAGTGGGAAGTCTGTGGGAAGGAAAAAGTGTGGCAGAAAACGCTGCACAATGAGAAGAGGTGACCGGACCCTGAGGAAGATTGTGGAGAAGGACTGATTCCAGACCTTGGGGGACCTGCGGAAGAAGTGGACTGAGTCTGGAGTAGAAACATCCAGAGCCACCGTGTACAGGTGTGTGCAGGAAATGGGCTACAGGTGCCCCATTCCCCAGGTCAAGCCACTTTTGAACCAGAAACAGAGGCAGAAGCAGCACTGGACTGTTGCTCAGTAGTCCAAAGTACTTTTTTCAGATGAAAGCAAATTTTGCATGTCATTCGGAAGGTGCCAGAGTCTGGAGGAAGACTGGGCAGAGGGAAATGCCAAAATGCCTGAAGTCCAGTGTCAAGTACCCACAGTCAGTGATGGTCTGGGGTGCCATTTCAGCTGCTGGTGTTGGTCCACTGTGTTTTATCAAGGGCAGAGTGAATGCAGCTAGCTATCAGGAGATTCTGAAGCACTTCATGCTTCCATCTGCTGAAAAGATTTCATTTTTCAGCATGACCTGGCACCTGCTCACAGTGCCAAAACCACTGGTAAATGGTTTACTGACCATGGTATTACTGTGCTCACTTGGCCTACCAACTCTCCTGACCTGAATCCCATAGAGAATCTGTGGGATATTGTGAAGAGAAAGCTGAGAGACGCAAGACCCAACACTCTGGATGAGTTTAAGGCCGCTATTGAAGCATCCTGGACCTCCATAACACCTCAGCAGTGCCACAGGCTGATTGCCTCCATGCCACGTCGCATTGAAGAAGTCATTTCTGCAAAAGGATTCCCGACCAAGTATTGAGTGCAACTGAGCATAATTATTTGAAGGTTGGCTTTTTTTGTATTAATGACCATTTGGTGTAGCATATTTTTAGACACCATATTTAATGGACAGGATTACTTAACTTAACTTAACCTTATTGAGCCATCTCTACCACTTGGTTGAGTAATGTTATACTAAAAAAATTCCACTAGATGGCACTGTGTCAGGAAATTGCAGGCCTCATCTGCCATGCTCCCACCAGGAAATCAGAAACAAAAAAAATCACTCTGGACACATGGACTGTTTTGGCAAAAAATTGTGAAGGTAAGTACATTTTTCCACAGGAAAATCATGTCATAGTCTTTGCAGAATATTATTATGTCATTTGATACAAGAAAATAACTGTAATAAATTCAGAATATATTTTCTAAAACATGCTCAACCAAACGGTTGAGTTATCAATTGATGGTAAGGTTAGCAACACTAAGCTAATGTTTAGAATTTTTGTTTTGACATGTTAAATTGACTATTTTCCATGAAATAAAATGGTTTAACGATCTATACATTTAAGTATTAAGTGTTTTAATTGTTTTACAGGACAAAGTAAAAAAGATTTACTCTGTCATTGTTTTCAAAATGTTGTTTTAAATGATAGGTAAAAAAAAACATAAAACCATTGCAGTTATTTGAATTTTACAAAACCATCTACAACACCTACAATTTCCTTTTCTTTTACATTTAATAGATGGATTGCAAATCCTTTTATGGAACAAGGCAACGCACTTCTCTGGCCCTTGTACCTGAAAATTCTCAGGACTCTGATGATGAACTGAGTGATGATGACCCTAGAGGATCCAGATTTTCAACCCAATTTTGCAGATGATAGTAATGAAAGCTGTTTTGATGTTTCCATGGAAGAAGATGCTCCTTCAACAGGCAGATCAACACAATTGTCTCATAAAAAGAGCAAAAAAAACAGAAACACATCCTAAAAACTGTTCCCTTGGAAGAAACAGAGGATACATTATACCCATATTCCTTCTCAGTCCCCAAAAAAGATGCAAGAAGAATCTGGAAGTATGAAGACATTGAAGAATTGCAAGTTCCAGCAGCAAGTTTTGAGCCCCCTGAGGCTCTACAGTCCCCATTCCAGTACTTCAAAATGCTCTTCACTGATGAAATGATTGATCATAATGCTTATCATACCAATCTGTATTCTGCTCAAGAATTGGAAGACACAATCAAGACTAGCCCTAAGGAAATAGAAGATTTTCTGTCAATCCTCCTATTTATGGGTGTTTTCAACTTTCCATCGCTGGAAGATTACTGGCACCATGAGTCACGTTTCAGTGTGATAGCCGATATCATGCCAAAGAAGAGATTCCAGCTGTTGCGCCGGTTCATTCATTTCAACGATAATCAGCAGTGTAATCACAGTGGAGACCGATTTAACAAAATCAGACCTCTCTTTGATATGCTTCATGAGCAATGCCTCCAGATACCATCAACATATAAGCACAGCGTGGATGAGGTCATGGTAGCCTATAAAGGTACAAGGGCTGGCAATCTCCGTCAGTATATTGCCAACAAGCCACACAAGTGGGGCTTTAAATTGTTTTGCCGAGCCAGTTGATCTGGCATCATTCATGACCTGCTGCTTTATCAGGGAGCTTCCACATTCTTCAACACTACCCTCAGTAAAGAGGAGCAGATGTTACCTTTGGGAGCCAAGGTGGTGACAACACTTTGTAAAACCATAACACAGCCAAGGCTTTCTGTTGTGTTTTGTGACAACTATTTTACCAGTTTTAAACTGGTGGAGTACCTGGACACCTCGTTGGGTGTCAAGTGCATTGGCACCGTTCGACCAAATCGCACAGGTGGAGCAAGCCCCCACAATGCCGCTCAGAAAATGGTCCCAACCCGGAAGTAAGAAAAATTGCAGTTCCACCCTCATCCGCTGGGGGCTGGTACCAGAAGCGAGCAAATCCTCATTGACTCCCATGTTAAAAATGCCATTTTCACAGCAGAAATAAACATGTTTACAGCCTGGTTCAAAAAATGGTTTTTTGTCTAAATTATCTAGTTTATACTCATGACAACTCTGAGGGGGGTGAATTTTTTTCTCACTCTTCTGTTTAAGTGTATTGAAAGCCTAAAATTCTGTATAATTAATGAGCATCCAACACACGTGACCGCCGCCTCAGACCCACGTGACCACAGAGCTAGCTCCGTGGAAAGGCCTCAGTACAGCCTCGGTCTCTCCTGGAAACTGTGTCGGGATTTTGAGTCTCTGTGCTTGTGAATTCTGTTTTGGATAATATTGGTGCAATTGTTGGACAAAATGACTTGCAGTGGTATTAATTGCACTAATAGAGCGTCCAAGGAGTCTCCACTTCATTTTTTTCGGTAAGTTAAAATCTATATTTGTATTTTATGTCACTGCTGCCTTTAAACTAGCTGAGTTTACCGAAGTAGCTAGCTAACTATCAGTTTAACATGTAGCATGTACTGTTTAACCATGAAATTTAAATGTAAAATACGGTAAAATAATTAATAGGGCATATTTAAATGGGTAATAGGGTAAAACCCAGTGCATTTAAGATAAAAATGGGTTGAAATATGACGGGGCGCGCCGCTTGGGGGGACACTTCTGTGCTCTATTCTTTCATCCGGTAATCCCCAGCGGTCAGGCCGGGCAGGCTGATCGATGCGGCGCCTCGCTGCTGCGGGCTGACCGCTCGTGGAACTCGGAGACAGATCTGACCGGAGAAATACTGCAGCTCGTTGAGAAGTCTATAGGGCATACAGCGTTTCCCTTAAATCCCACTGCCACGCCGACAAGATCCCAAGTTTCTTTGTTTTTGTTGGCGCTGTTTACCGAAGAAGCAGCGGGAATACCAGCAACTTTCATCAGACTCATAAAGTTAGTTTTTGCAGGGGACCCCCTGTATTTTACTGCTCCCTCCTGCAGTCTTCCCCTATTAAAATTTAAAATGTGTAACTTCATGTATTGGGATGAATGACTAATATTCATGTTAACTAAAACGTTAGGTATTTAGGGGGAAAAAACAAAATAATAAACATTATACAGATGTCAAATAAATCCAACTGTAATTAAACTATATATTTTCAAAGTCTAGATTCTGGATAAAATCCAACAACATATGCTTTATAAATAAACACTACGCATGGCTTTTACACACACACACACACACACACACGTTACATTGTGATTTCTTAGTAAATATTCTATTTGGCGAGAGATAAACTTTATTGTATTTATCCTAGTGAATCTATAATTAAACGGGTAAACTAGCAGTAGTACATCCAACATCAAAGAAAGTAAAATGTTATTATCAGGAGAGGGAGAATGATTAAGTGGTTAGCAGCAGTGTGCTAGACGATGGCCCCCTCCATGAGGCCACCACAGCTCAGCAAAGCATCATTGTTGCTTCTTCTGGGGAGAAAAACACTTACAGAAAAAATAAAGTTAACAGCTGAAATAGCAGGAAATAATACAGTTAAAGAGCAGATTGTAGAAGAAAGAAACCCCTGGGTTAAACTGGTCTGTCTACTGCATAATGCTGAACTCTAACATGTGTCCTCAGGGAAGGACCTGATTGGTGTCCAGAACCTGCTGAAGAAGCACCAGGCTCTGCAGGCTGAGATCACAGGTCATGAACCTCGCATCAAGGCTGTCACCCAGAAAGGAGAGACCATAATGGAGGAAGGTAGAGCAGGTCTGGTCCTGACATGTTTCTGAGGTGTCTGCAGGTTCTGGCTCACTTTGTTTGGGTCCA